CTTTTATGTATCTCATTTGAAATTGCCTCAAAGTTCTATTATTACAGCTATGCCTAACCTAGCCTTTATACAGGCTTGCTTACTCAACTACACCAATAAACTACACTGGCTCTTATTGTTACAAAGGTATAAGTTACACTAACTAGCTTCCTTTTAAATCTGTGGGCTATATAGCACAGGCAGAATATGTTAATGAAGAGTGAGATGGCAGCTAAACAAATTCAATGTCTATTCTACTCCACTACTGATGAATGGATAGCCTTTACCAGAGCAAACTCAATGGTGGAGGTAAACACGAGTATAGGAGTTGAGTAAACATACTACTGCCATAATCAGAAAATAAGTATTAGTGGGTGAAAAATGAGTAGACAATGAACAATCATAGTTGCACTTTTTCTCACGGATGTAATTCTTTGAAGGTGGTTTACAAACCTCTGACCATTAGTTTCCCTCTTCTGCATTTGTTCCTATATGTCTTAGTTCCTCATAAAACTTTACCTTATTAAGTGCAGAACAGCTAACAAAAATCAGTACATAAATCTGTCCACTTAAGTTTTTTTAAAAATTCTTTTTTTGAGTCAGCATCTCACTCTGATGCCCAGGCTGTGTGCAGTAGCACAATCATTGCTCAGCACAGCCTTGACCTCCTGGGCTCAGGCAATGCTTCCACCTCAGCCTCCCAAATAGATGGGACTACTGGCACATGATACCACACCTGGCTAGTTTTTTAGTGTTTTGTAGAGACTAGGTCTCACTAGGTTGCCTAGACTGGTCTCAAGTTCTTGGGCTCGAATGATCCTCCTGCTTCATCTTCCCAAAGTGTTGGGATTAAGGGATCGGCCACTTTGCCCAGCCAAGTTTTCCTTTTAAACTTTTAATTTAAGGCTGGGCATGGTGGCTCATGCCTGTAATCCCAGCACTTGGAGGCTGATGTGAAAGGATTGCTTGAGCCCATGGGTACGAGACCAGCCTGGGAAACTTGGCAAGACGTCATCTCTACAATAAATCAAAAAATTAGCTGGGTGTGGTAGCGCACACCTGTAGTTCCAGCTACCTGGAAGGCTGAGGCGGAAGGATCACCGGAGCCCAGCAGGTCGAGGCTGCGGTCTGGGCAATGGAGTGAGACTCCAACTCAAAAAAAAATTTTTTTTTATTTTATTTTTTAAAGATAAGATCTTGTTATGTTGCCCAGGCTGGTCTCAAGCTTTTTTAATTTATTTTTTGAGTCGGAGTCTCACTCTGTCACCCAGGCTGGAGTCTAGTGGCAAGCTCACAGCTACCGCATCCTCAACCTGCTGAACTCAGGCGATCCTTCCACCTCAGCCTTCCAAGAAGCTGGAACTACAGGCGCGTGCCACCATGTCCAGCTTTCTTTAATTTACTGTAGAGACGAATTCTCACCAAATTGTCCAGGCTGGTCTCAAACCCCTGGACTCAGGCTGCCCTCTTCCCTCTGCCTCCCAAAGTGTTGGTATTACAGATGTGAGCCACATGCCTGGCTTGAACTCTTGATCACAAGCACTCCTTGCTGCCTCAGACTCCCTAAGTGCCAGGATTAGAGGTATGAGCCACTGCGACCAGCCTGTCCACTTAAATTTCTAGCAGACTTGCGGAGGCAAGAGGATTGCCTGCATCCAGGGGTTCGAGACCAGCCTGAGCAACATGGCAAGACTTCATCTCTACAGTAAATCAAAAAATTAGCTGGGCGTGGTGGCACATGCCCGTGGTTCCAGCTACTTGGAAGGCTGAGGCGGAAGGATCACCTGAACTCAGGTCGAGGCTGCGGTGGCTGTGAGCCTGCCACTGCACTTTAGCCTGGTCGACAGAATGAGACTCTGACTCAAAAAAATAAAATTCTAGCAGATCTACTATACCTATTAATAGATCTAAAGCATCCACTTTCTAATTCAGAAGTTGCTATAACAGAAAACTCAACTCTAAAAATAAAAAGGCGCCAGGCTCAGTGGCTCAGCCTGTAATCCCAGCACTTTGAGAGGCTGAGGTGAGTGGATTGCCTGAGTCTGTGGGTTTGAGACTAGCTTAGGCAACTTGGCGAGACCTCGTCTCTACCAATAAATAAAAAATATTAAACTGATAAGAATAAAATGAATTATCCGGGCATGGTAGCGCGAGCCTGTAATTCCGGCTACCCGGAAGGCTGAGGCGGAAGGATCACCGGAGCCCAGATCGAGGCTGCAGTGGCCGGCAGCGGCCACTGCACTCCAGTCTGGGCTACAGAGTGAAACTCCAACTCAAAAAAATAAAATAAAACAAAATAAATAAATAAGAAATAAATAAAAATTAGCCAGGCGTGGTAGCGCTTTCCTGTAGTTCCAGCTACTTGGAAGGCTGAGGCGGAAGGATCACAGGAGCCCAGCAGGTCGATGCAGGGGTGGCCGTGAACGTGCCACGGCACTCCTACCTGGGCAACTGAGTGAGACTTCAACTAAAAAATAAATAAGTAAAAATAAAAAGGTATATGAATTACATATACCTGTTCAAGCTGTGTTGTCTGTCCTAAAAGAGTGAACAATTCCTCAGATCCTGATGGTTGTGATTAAAACTCAAGTTAATTTTCATTTAGTTAGCTCTCTTGATTTTGGTTGCTAATTATTAGTCAGCTTCAAACTCCTTTTCTGAGCTTGGCAATAGCAGAGCCTCATTACTGATCCTAGTTTCCTAGCCACTGTTCAGTGCCCATACCTTAGTGAAAAGGCAGAAGTACACATTGCTTTTGTGTACATACCTCATTTGAGATTGTTAGCAAATTTATTATTGCAAATATGCCTAGCCTAACCTTTATACAGGCTTGGCCACTACTGTACAAATGCTGGAGATTCTTCACTTCTAATCACTTAAACTTTCAAGCATTATCTACAGCCAGGCATGTTGCTAGGGATAAAAATCACATACCTTCATCCACTCAACCTCCCTCACCCTTCTAAATTGAGGTATTTCTAGATGGCACAAATATAAATTTTAGGCAGCAAAGATATGGCTACATAACTAACTAAGCTTGTTTTGGGTTTTTTTTTTTTTTTTTTGAGTTGGAGTCTCACTCTGTCGCCCAGACTGGAGTGCAGTGGCCGCTCCCGGCCCCGCGGCCTCGACCTGCTGGGCTCCGGCAATCCTTCTGCCTCAGCCTTCCAGGTAGCTGGAACTACAGGCGCGCACTACCATGCCTGGCTAATTTTTTATTTATGTAGAGATGAGGTCTCGCCAATTGCCCAGGCAGGTCTCAAACCCGCGGGCTCATGCAATCCACTCACCTCAGCCTCTCAAAGGCACGGCATTACAGGCT